ATTTACTTAGGGCACCAAGAAGCTTAATGCATTTCCATCTTAGAAAACAACTGGAACTTTGTTGGACTTTTTAACACTTAATTTACACTTTATATCTATCATCTGTCTATATCTATCATCTCTCTCATGAGGAAGGATTCAAGCCATGTTGCCCTCTTTGCTGTTCTTTTAATATGCTAAGCATGCTCCTGTCTTTCAAGGTCTTTGTTATTATTATTTTTCGTTAGTGATTGAGGCCTTGAAAAGTCTTAATCTGGCTCTTGGATCTGACCAACGCTAAGGTCAAATGATATGGGGTGGATGTCATTCTTTTAACACATTGTAGCAATGATCATATCTTGAAACGTGAGCTGACATTCACTTTTTCAACAAATATTTATTGAAGGACTGTTATGGGCTAGGCCCTGTGTTGGGCATGCAAAGATGAATAAGACATGGGTTGTGCTCAAAAGACTCTGTCAGTATACCTGAGGTTTGTGTATATGTATGTGTGTATGTGTGTGTGGGGGGGGAGATGGAGACAAGAGATGGTTTTATGGAGAGGTAGCCATGAATGGACTTAGATGGGTAGAGACGTCAGAGATCAGTAGCTTTGCTTTGCATATAAGATCAAACAAATTGGTGATACCAAATTCATCTTTTTGATATCATTAACAGGAATGGGGTAATTATACTTAACAGAATTGAATACTCCACATATCTGGGGTCCAACTTGGACCCAACTATTGTAGGGAGGATTTTGTTGGAGGAATCTCCTGATCCTTTCTCTTTTCTTCCTGGTCATCACAAAAAATAACTTATAAATCTTGTATCTGAGAACTATTTTCCTTCAGGATGTTTCACTGAGAATGAAAGCCATCAATTTAAGACCCAAAAGAAACTGCTCAAATGCCAGGTTTTTGCTTCTTATAAAGATGGTCATTTTCTCTTCTGTATTTTTCTTTCTTTATCTAATAATACTATTAGAAAAGAAATCAAAAGTTTAAATAATTCTCAGCATAACTTTTGCAGAAGTCAATAGCTAGGAATCAAATTGTAAAAGCATGATTATCTATATAACAGAATACCCCACCCTCCCACCCCCCAAAATTGTGACAAATAAGCCTGTGTATTTTGCCACTTGTAGCACTATGACCAAATTGAAGGAAAAATAACCACAGAATGGGAAAAAAGAGAGTACAGCCATGTCTTGAGGGTTAATGGTTTACATCCAGAATTATAAAATGATGGCAAACATCACTTCAGGAATAGTTATGACCACTGCTCCCAACCATATGCAAAATATCCCAAACTATGAAAAACCCAAGCAGTTTACGAGAAGACAGTTACTGCCTGTTCTGTTCTCTTCCAGGGAGGTACTTCACGTAGCCCTTCTCTTCCTACGGGTCATCAGTGCCTGTGCAGATGGGAAGATCCGCATTTACAATTTCCTAAATGGGAACTGTCTGAAGGTGATGAAAGCCAATGGCAGAGGTGATCCTGTGCTGTCCTTCTTTATTCAGGGCAACAGGTGGGTGGTAGGTGTGGAGGTTGGAGCTGTGAGTAATTCTGTTCGGATGATTTTTTTCCTCCTGTGGGAAACTAGCCCTGGATTTGCTGGCAGTAGGAAAGAGCTGGTAAAATTGGGCTCCCTTCTAATTTTAGCTAGCAGAGAGTAATAAATAGTCTTACAGGAGACTAATTGGACTTTGCGCCAAACTTAGTAATCAGGGTTCATATTACTTTTAATTTGTTCTGGATGTCTGGGCAAATCACGTAGTGACTACAATATGGCTTTGCTGCAGGGATCACAGTTTAGCAGACATGTGGCCCCTGCTTGCTCCCTGAGTATGCATTCAGCTATATAAGAGCTCCACCAGCTGTCTCTGATGCTTCAGTTCTGAAGCAGAGACCTACAGGAGGGTGAGGAATGCAGTATCCCATCCAGTGTCCAGTGGGGGGAAGTACTGAGTAGATGAGTTTACAGAAACTAGAGCCATGACTAAACTAATTGTATATCGTACTGCTACGTTTGGGGTGATACTATGTGAAGATACCCAAATAGAATTAACTTCTATTCTACCAAAGTCTCACTTGAGACATCAATTAATCTCCCTGAAATATATTGCCTTCCCTTTAATAAAACTTTACTAATTCCATTTCCTATTTTAAAGGAGGAGGGCTGGTAATAGGTCTTAATAAATAAACACTTTTCAATTATAAGGTAACAATGTTGTTAAAAAAAAGAATCATCTCTGACTTTTTCTCATTTATGATATCTGAAGAGAGACAATTTCCTTTTGGATTGAGTATGAATAAGTCTGAAAGAAATTTCAAATTGCAATGATTCCCCAGATTTCATTCCAGTGTTTCCAAACAAAACAAGTCACTTTTTTAGAGAGTTTACACTAACAATTAAGGTCTTAAAATTGCAGTCTTTTGGAGCAGAAATGAACCTACACATATTATTTCTGTTTTTTGTTTATGGTTGTAGGAGATCTAGGCATACAGTGGGGAAAGCAGCTTGCTCCGTGAACACTGTGAATGACAGAAACCAATAGAGGGGGTGGGAGCAATTCTTGAGGGGCTTAGGGTTGGAACTTCTATCCTGCTAAGGCATAAAAATGAGGATTAGGGAAGACAAAAATCATCCTGTTTTATAAAGTACAAGTGTTCTAAACGTAGAGTACTCACAGAGACCCTGGAGTGATGGAATGAAGGAGAGTGGGCTGGAGGGTCAGTAAGGGAGGACGCTCTCCATATTAAAGAGTTCTCCACATCCTCAACACAGCAATAGTTTGGATTCTGTGCTTAAGAAAAGAGTGAATTTCAAGACATCTGTGTGCAGAGTACCTAAGCCTTCTGTGTTGGGTACCTTAGTACTTGGCACTCACCCCAAGAATGGAAATTCATTTAAATATATTTTAACTTGAGAAGCAAAGTAATCAGAATGTATGTGCCTTGCTCACAATTAATTTTTAAAGAAAACATTTACAGAGCTGTAGAACCCTGCTGCATAGTGTGCTACCTGTCGCCACTTTAGACCCTTCACCAACCTACATCACACTACTGGTACAGTCATTTCCTGGGGAATTTTCTCCTGGCCTCAGGATTGGACAGGAAAGTCATTGAAGTGCATATTTGGAGGCTGGGCGGTGGCAACCTCCATGCTCCTTTTGTGGGCAATCTTGTTGTTTTGGTTCCAGGATGTTGGTCAACACGGAGAGCAATATTCTCATGTTCCAGTTTGAGAATATAAAGTGGCGGTACTCCCCGGAACAGGCCAAACAAAAGAAGAGTAAGGATAAAGAGGAAGACAGGGAAGAAAACAGCCTCACAGAAGACCTCTCCAAGGCTAGCACTCAGGTTTACAACCTGGGGGACTCCATGTCTAGTAAACAAGTGGTGACCCAGGAGTCCCTGTTAAGTAAATCTCACAAGTCCCGCCTTCTCCTGAGGGCAGCCAGGTTACAAACAGGTAAGAGAGCTGACTCCCAGGCCATCTCAGTGGTACCCAATGGAGTAGATGGGAGGCTGCCAGGACTAGTTTCTTTGTAGGATATTTTAGCCAGTGGTTTCTTGATGATATAAATCCCAGCCTTTAAGAAAAGTGGGAACCATTCTCTTTGACTTGGCAATTTGTTAGCCAGCTCAGGGGAACCTCCTGATTTTCAAGGCCTAAGTTTTCAGACTTATTAGAATCTTTGTATAGTAGCTAACACTAGCCTTTAATACTTAACTATTAAAACAAAAAACAAGCAACCAACATCCTCCTCCCAATGCCCCGGATCCAAACATATAGTCCATAATTACATTTTTAGAACAGAGATAAGATATTATTATACAGCAGAAAAATGTTTTGTGCAGAACGTATTATCTCCAGGCTCCCAATTAATAACATGTATACTTGGAAAATATTAGTTATAAAGCAGATACGTGTGTGTGTGTGTGTGTGTGTGTGTTTGTGTGTGTGTGTGAGAGAGAGAGAGTGAGAGTATGTGGGGAAGTGGCATGGCTCCTACCATTTATAAGACATAGAAAGAATAAATTATGTGGGGGCTAAAGTAACCAGACTCCTTTCTTTAACCTACTCTGTATTTGGCATGTAAAATTGAACCCACAGATTAATAGATCACTTCCCAGCATATTACAGTATGAATGGTCAGCTAGGAGAAAGGACGGAGAGTTTTAGATAATGCTTTGAGCTTAATAACCGGTAGGAAAAGCTAGCGGGAGGGGAGTCAGGAGGCGATCTAATCCTTAGGCTCCAAGAGACTCCTGGTTTCATACAATAAATAATAAGGTGATCGTTTGGGTGAAAACCAGTCAAATTATCAGTTACGCCCCCATTATGAAGACCTAATTGAATTATATAATTACCATGGTTTCCTTCTCAATCCTAATTTAGCAGTGTAGGTAGAGGCACCTCAAAGTCAAAGAAAGTCAAAATCACCCTGAAGAGTTGGCAAGAAGAGAGTGAGTCCTGTTTCTAAGGAAACAAATGGCATGGATGGTGGACAGTAGAGTTTGGAAGCAAAATCTTTTGCAGGAGATAAGATGATCAGTGATACTTTATTCAGTGATACTGAATCACTGGCAAGATCCAATACGTCTCTGTCTCTGTCTCTGTCTCTGTCTCTGTCTCTGTCTCTGTCTCTGTCTCTCTCTCTCTCACTTAGTTCAGTCTAGTTTTCGGCAGGTCAATAACTTTATCTTTGAGAACTTAGAATGGATAAAATGCCTATCTTTTCCAAAGAGTGACTGATTTTCCTTAATTTCCTCTTTACTGACTTGAGGCCACAGAGCAAGAACTTCTCTAACAACTAAGTTTCCAATTCTGGGTTCATAGCCTGTCTCCTTTCCCTGTCATTCAGCCTCCTCACTTCTTGGACTATAGTGTCATCAGCCTGAGTAATAGGCACAGCAGAAGAGAGAAAGAGGAAGTTGAGGCTGATTTCAGAGGTCATTTTAGGGAATTTCATGAGGGAGAAGATAGATTTGGGGGTGGGTGCTATGTATGTGACATAAGGAGATAAGGGAGAGAGATGGGAAAGAAGCTTTTAAGAAGAATCACTGACTATCACAAATGGTATGTCCCTTTGTTGTTTTTGAGAGACTTTGGTAAAGATTTAAAGTGTCTTTCAGATAGTTTTGGCTAATATAATAGTGTTTCTTTGAATCAAACTCCCTGCAGGGACTAGCTTTAAGGTGAGAGTAAAATAATTTTTAGGAGGGCTCTACTCACAGTGGTTATCCTTGTATGTACCTAAGTCTGTGTACCTATGTAGGTATAGCTGTAAGATAAAGTCCTAGGAGTGGCATTGCTGAGCCAAAGGATAACTAAATTTAACAACTAGAAAGATATTGCCATGGTCATCCTTTAAAAATGATGTGACAATTTACCATCTCACCAAGAATGCATGAGAGTTCCTACTGTACCCATGACAACACTGAGTATTATTAATCAGTTTGTTCTTGCTTGTATGATAAGTAAAAATGGTATCTGCATTTTTTTAAGGATGATCACTAACAAACTAAATGTCCATCAGTGGGCAGTAACTAAGTAGATAATGAAAAATGCATACTATGCAATATTATATAACAGCTAAAAGTTGTATGATGAGGATCTACATACATTCACTTGGAAAAAGAGTCAGGATATATTACTATACAAAGGAGAGAAATTAATGAACAATGAGTCATCACATTTCCTTTTTATAAAAGGGGAAAAACCATGTGTTTTGTCACACACATACACACACACCCAGAATCGTTTATTCTGAGATTGAAATGGGAGTGGGGAAGATTATGCTATCCTAATTTCATTTAGTTTTATTTGTTTTAGTAAAATATTATTAACCAAGTAAAAGTCAGGGAGAAATTTGAAGTTTCATTCGATTCTAGTATGTCCATACACAACCATCTTGAGATAAAACTATTTGGCCAAGGAAAATTGTATGCTTAACATATGGTTGCATTTTATTTGCTAGTTATAGATTGGTATAGTTTGGGGTATAGATCTTTACTTGCTAGGTCAGACTAGACAAAGACTTCTACTTTTTATGTCTCAGTTATTCCTTTTGTAAAAAGAGAATAATGCATTCAGTGTATCCGTGAGGTAATGCAGGGATGGAAAGGCCCAAATGAGAGAGATATGATAGATTTGCTCACCTGTAAAGACATCTTTGCTAACTCAAGGTCTTAAGCTCCTTGTAGGCCTTGACTTTAATGTAGTGTGTCAGAACAAATCTTTGGTTCTTGTCATCAGCTTTTGGACTCTCTTGTTGTTGTTCAAAACATTTTGGGAACTCCCGTTCAGGAATTGCCTTTCGCTCATGCTGTGATATTTTGCATTTGCCAGGGGTGACATATTTTGAAGGCAGTTTTGCTTTTGGGAAATGTCTTAAGATCATTTGGAGTCAAATTTGATTAATAAGGTGATCAAATTTTGTGATTCAATTTTTGTTTAAAAATAGAGGTATGTTACTATAAATTTATAAGGCCTATCCTGTGTGAGTCATAAATGAGGCATAAAGTTTTCAAAAATGTGTGGAGCATTGGGATTACATATGTTCCCTGCAAACTATACATATCTATAAGTTAATATACCCTTACACACAAGTACTAACATATTTGTTAAAAACTTATTTTGCTGAATATGCCATAATTTTTAGTATCGTAGAAGATTTTTGCCTACATGATGGCCTGTCCATTTGGCAACAAAGACCTCAGTTCGAATAGCAGTTAGAATGGATTTGATTTTCATGCATAAGTACTTGATGTTTTTGATGAAAGAGCAATTTGTTGTTTTCTTTCTCCTCTTCCTCCCTCTCCTCTTCTCTCTCCCCTCCCCTACCCCTCCTCTTCCTCCTCCTCCTTCTTTTTTGAAAAACAAGATGATGTGGCAAAAGTACCAAAACAAGGACAGCTGGAAACTCCTGGAGACTTGACCAGTCACTCAAAGAAAAAGTCCTGGCAAATACCTATGTCACCAGACCGGTTCCTCCTGACCATTAATGCCCTGCAGCAAGCCCATAATTCAGGGCAGTTTGCCTATCCCGGCAGGCCCCAGACCCAAGTCATTGATGCCTGGGGACCTTCAATTTCACATCCAAGGAAGGTCCTGAGTTTCAAAGGAAAATCAATCCAACATGCAGTTGATCAGTTGAGACTCAGCAACCCTCCCATAGATGTGAAACAAATCAATATTCCCCTTGAAATCCAGAAACTGCAGCCCAACTTGAAAAAGTCTTTGCAAAGTCCCCGAGTGCAGTCCACCATACCCCAGCCTATGCTTATCCGCTCCAGGTTCTCTGGCAGCTTAAAGGGTGAAGATCGAGCATCCAGTTCAATTGATGAAACAGCGGGCAGCTTCAGACCCTTAACCAGCATGCAGGTTATTAAACCCAAGCGCATGCTGGTTCCGCCGGTGGTCATGACAACCCAATCTGTCAAGAAAGAACGACCTCACTTCCACACAGCTCTTGATCCTTTTAGAGTGAACACTGAGTTCATGTTGTTGACTGTGAAGGAGGAGAAAGAGTATGGGGAAGCCAAGATGAAAGAATATCAGGCTAGAAAGCCCACTGGAGTGGTCGATTCAGAAAAAGCCAGCAAAGCTGCATGGATCAGGAAGATCAAAGGCCTGCCTATAGATAATTTCATGAAGCAAGGAAAAATAGCAGCCCCTGAACTTGGTCCAAACATATTTATCTGAACCAGCCTTGGGAAATTACAACGTCTTACAATAAACAGAAAACCAAGTAGATGTTGGTGTTTGGCCTCCTTTTTTTTTTTTAGTGTTCCCTGTCAATTAACATGGGGATTCTTAATTGTCCTCCTATAAGCCAAATAACTGATATTATCAAAGTAAGAAAACAGAGGGAGGCTGGGAGAGATTGGCATTTGTATTCTCACTGAAAACCATTCAATGAGACTTATAGAAGCACAATTTCATGGATGGGGAATGGGGAAGTGATCATTGGAAGTTAAATACCACTCATCACTACCAATTCACTACTATCATTTTTGTACCAAATGAATTGATGGGATTGTATCAGAATAATGCATTGGAGTTCCATGGTACTTTTGCTTGGAAGCTTGATGAAGCTTGTTGAGTTAAAAATTTAAAAGGAGAAGCTGTCAGTGGGGTTGACCTATTGCATTTGAGAACTTTACAAGTTCTTTTTCCAATCAGGGCTAACTCCCGTGGAAGAGAATTAAGCATATTTACCCTTTCTACAAAGGGGCCCACTTAAATGGAGTGTGTTGGTTTCTACTTACACTTTCTGAAGATAGTATTATAGTCCAGGCAGGTAATTTAGAAGAGAGTAGCCCACCATGAGGGCTATGCCCATTGGAGAGCTCATGTCGCGTACAAAGGGGAGAGCTGCTCCTCAGTGGCTCAGCATGAGTGTAGGATGCTGTGAGACAATAGAAAATTATATTGGCCTCTGCCCCTGGTTCCTGGCACAGAGTTCCTGAAACCCTTGTAAAGTCCTAAGTGGTAAAAGGACTAGGAGTATCTTCTGTTCTAATGAGGTGACTCTGGGTGGGCTCCTGGATGGGGGATGGTCACCAGGCAGACCAAGTCATGATGAGAATTTTCAGCCCAATTCCCATTCTTTAGAGAGGAAAGAGGGGCTGGAAATGGAGTTAATGATTGATCATGCCTACGTGAGGAAGCTCCATAAAAATTCCAACAGTAGGGGGTTCAGAGAGCTTCCAGGTTGGTGAACAAATCTACGAACTGTGAGGCTGACACACGCCAACTCCATGGGGACAAAAGCTCCTGCACTCAGGACTCTTCCAGATCTCACCCCATACATCTCTTCATCTGCCTGTTCATTTGTATCTCCAACCTTTTTGGCACCAGGGACTAGTGTTGTTAGGAGAATCTAATGCCTGATGATCTGAGATGGAGCTGAGATGGTGATGCTAGCGCTAGGGAGCAGCTGCAAATACAGATGAATCTTCCCTCGCTTCCCCCGCCACTTACCTCCTGCTATGTGGCCCGGTTCCTAACAGGCCACGGACTAGTACTGGTCCGCAGCCCAGGGGTTGGGGACCTCTGCTTTATCATATCCTTTCAAACACTGGTAAGTTTAAGTGTTTTCCTGAGTTCTGTGAGCTGCTCTAGCAAATTAATTGAACCCCAGGAGCGGGGGGTGGGTCGTTGGAACCTCTGATCTATAGCTTGTTGGTCAGAAGCACAGCTGATAATCTGGACTTGTGACTGGGTGTGTGTGTGTGTGTGTGTGTGTGTGTGTTAGGACTGAGCCCTTAACCTGTGTGATCTGATAATAACTCCAGGTGAATACTATCAGAATTAAATTATAGTACACCCAGATGGTTTCACAGATAATTGCTTGGTGTGGAGAAAAACCTCCATACATTTGGTGACCAGAAGTGGTGTTTTATGTGTAGTAAAGAAGACATACAGGAAAGAAACACAATAGAGAAGAACTGTTTTTTGTCTTTTTTTTCCTACACAGGAGATAAACTGAGAGTTTTCTACACAGATGGTAATGAATTCAAATAGAATGCAAAACAAAACCAACAAAAAACAAAACCCCACAACCCACACACTTGATGGGCCACCAAAAACATGGCATGGGCAGCCTAGATGCAAAGGTCACTAGTTCAAAGCCTCTGTTTTCATTTCCAAGTGCAAGAATACAATTGTTTGCTACGCTTTCTCTCCTTTGAGAAATTTTTCATTATTAATATATTAGGTTTAAAGCTGCACTGGCAAATAGCCATGTAAAATATCGTAATTTTAATAGAGTCTCCTCAATTAAGGAAAGATGCCAATATATTACTCCATGAACCTTCCACAGCAGTTTGATGTAGGCCAGTGCAGGCAGGATGTTGTTATAATTAGTTTCAAAGATGATTTACAGCTCCTGAATTTCAGGTCCTTCAAATGGGCAAGGTCACACCTTTAGCAACTAAACGTAAAACAATAATAAGAATACCATCTCCTATTTACTAGGTCCTTAACCAGTACGATACTATTATCATCTCCACTTTACAACAGAGGAAAGATTCTACAGAGGTTTGATAACTGGTAAGTGGAAGAGGCGGGGTTCAAGCTCCAAAGCTTAAGCTCCAGGGCCCACGCTCTCCCCCTCTCTGTTCCTTAAGTTTCCCGGTGTCTTCCACAATTATACTGTCCATTGTTTACGCGAGTTCTCCTGCTTTGTCCTGCTTTGCTATTAATAACTTTTTACCCCTTCGCAGGAGCACATTAATTTTTTTCAAGTGCTTCTAAAATTTAAGATACAAATATAATACTGTAAAGGAAAACTTTGTAAAACAAAAATGCAATACGAAATAATAAAGCCCTAACCCCGCCTTTAGGACACTGGTGCGGGTAGGAATAACGTCTCTTAGGTAGCAACAACATCTCTACGTGACAAGCCACGAAGCTTGCAACTTAAATTCAACCGTCGCACTGGGATCCTTTCCCAGATGGTTTTTCTCCCAGGCTAGTACTAGCTCCCGCCCCAGTCTGCTCATCTAGCCCTGCTCCCTGGTTGCCCCGCCCACTTCCTCGCCCCGCCCCGTCACGGTCCGCATAATACAGCTCTTCGGGACAGCCCGGACCATGCACTCGCCCCGCCCCCACGCTCTCCCTGTCGCTGAGCTTGCTTCTCCCGCGAGGCGCCTGGAAGCGGAAGCGTGGACGTGCTGTGGCTTGTACTTTGGCTCCTCCTGGCCTCTGGTGACCTTCCCGTGTCAGTTCCAGTCCCCGCCTAGCTGCCGTCGCGCTGACGTGGCTTCCGGAAGTGGGGCTGGCTCAAGGCCGCCATGTTTCAGCAGGTGAGGGGCTGTGGCGCGGGGTGAGGGTGGCGGTGGCGGCGGTGGGCTCGGCCTAGAGGATGGGCGGGGCGCGAGTCGGGCGTCTGGGGCCGTAGTGTCCGCGTCCCGTCTCGCTACCCGTGTCCGAGGAGTAGCGAGTGGGCGGAAGAGGTGGGGGTTGGAGGAACGCAGGCCGTTCGTTGCCCCGGGGCTGGGCTCCGTGAACCCTTCGGTGGCGGGATACCCAGGCTGTGCGGAGGGGGAACAGCTTCCGGGTGTGGAAAAGCGCATTGTAGACAAACGCAGAGCGCCCGGGGCCGGGCTGCAGAAACGCTGCCCTATGTGAAATTGCTCTGGTCTTTCTCAACCGTTCGTGGACAGCCGAGGGGGAACACCCTGATGCTTAGGGATGCGCTGCGATTCTGTCGAAATAGGACTCTTCTGTCGAAATAGGACCGCCAGACTCTTGTATTCGTTTCTGTTGCCAGACTAACATTGAATTGGTGGCGGTTAGTGGCTGACCACATCTGTGCCCTTAGTTACAGTCATCAGGTTTTCAACCAGAGATTGGTGAGAATAATTTAATCTTTAAAAAAATTTTTACTATTTATAGTGCACTTTCACTTAGATTGTCATATATCTATATCTATATATATCTATATGTCTATAGAGAGGTTTGTATGGCTCGGGCACTGTTTTAGGCCTTGGGATAGGGCTGTAAACAGTACAGTTTTCTTGCCCGAATTGCCGGGTACATTGTAGGGTACTGAGGGATGGGAGCTTGTCGAGGGGTTGGAGTGGGAAGATATAATAAGTTACGTAACTAAAGATATTTTCAGATAATGATAGCAAAGAAAAGGTGGTGTAATAGCAAGTATCTGAGAATAGGACAACCTTAGGATTTATGGTCAGGAAAGACCACTCAGGAGGTGACTTGAATGGACAAAAATCCAGCGATGATTAAATTAGGCTTTCTCAACCTGCACCCAGGCTGAAGGAGGCTGGAAACACACACACACAACGTACTGTTCCCACCTTAAGTTTGTGATCATGGACCTCAAGTGAGCCCTTCATACTGCCAGGCACTCATCACTACATTTCCATTGTTCCCCCACTCTCACCCTCCTGGGCCGCTAATAAAACCTCTCTCCTCAAACTGTTAACATTTCTCCCTTATCTTCAGTCAGCTTGTTTCACAGAAAATGGAAGCCATCAGAAGAAAATTTTAACACCACCTGCCATCCTCATCTTGGCTCATAATTCTCATATACTCTTCCTCTCTTTTATTATAATTGAACTGTCTGTGCTCTGTTCCTAGGCTGTGCCCTCTTCTTATGCACTGATTTCCATCTCATCTGGCTTGCTGGAAGGCATTGATCCAGCAATTCTCCTTTCTCTCAGCATCATTTTTATCCCTTTTTATAAGCTTGGTTACACAGCGTAGAAATGTGCTCTAATTGCTCCTATGTTAAAAACTCCACATGCCCTTTCAGCTATCATCCCATTCTTTGCTTGTTAAGAGACCTGTCTACACTTGTCTCTTCATTCTTCTATTCTCTCTTCTATCTATTCTAGTTAGGCTTTCTCCCTCCTTCCTCTGCCATATTGAAATGCTCTTATTGAGGTCATTGATGACTTGTTAGAAATAACAGTAGTCACTTTTTGGTTTTCATCTTACTTGTGAGCATTTGACATAGTTGATTGGATCCTCCTCCTGGAAACACTTTCCTTTTCTGGTTTCCAGGATACCACCCTTTCCTGGTTCACCTCCTACTCCATAGCACCCCCACTGTTTATTCCTTCCAAATCTTTTTGACCTCTAAATATTGGGGTGTCCAGAGTCTATCTTTGGCATTTTCATCCTTTTAGGTGCTAAGGACAAAAAGTTTGGAATCTTCTTTGACTCCTTTTCTCCTACCCCACATTCAACTCATCAGCAAATCCTGTCAGTTCTACCATAAAAATATTTGTTATCTGGCTGTTTTTCATCCCTTCCACTGCATTCACTTTAGACCAAACCATTACTATTTGGATTCCTTACTGAATTAGCCTGCTGACCAACTTTGTGCCTTTGTCTTTTCCCCCTTGCCCTCTTACTCTTTCTCTCCAGATTCTTAACACAGTAGCCAGAATTTTCCTTCTAACACGTTTCATTGCCTTCTCTGATTCTGACCCTTCTGTGTTCCTCTAATAAGGATCATTGCGATTACATTATTGGCACCACCTGGATAATCCAGGGTAATTTTCCCATCTCAAGATACTTAATAACTTCTGCAATTTTTTTTTTTTTTTGGCCAAGTAAATTTACATATTCATAAGATCTAGGGATTAGAGCCTGGACTTCTTTGGTGGAGTGAGAGGAGGCATTAGTATACTTACCGCAGTAAATAGAGGAGGATGGCCTGAGACAAGGGCTTAGAGGTGGACAGGGACCAGATCCTGATATGTGATGATAAGGAGTCTGTTTTTCAGCCAAAATGCTATGGATTTTATGTAGGGGAAGGCTATGATCTAATGTGAAAAGGTCACCTTGGTTGCTGGATGGAGATTGGACTATTGGGATCAAGGGCTGAAGGCCTCGGCTTTTCATTCCATAGCATCATACAGTAGAGATCTCAGTCTTGACTGCATATTATTATCATCTAGAGAGCTTTAAAAAATCCAGACACCCAGACCACACCCCAGACCAGTTACATCTGAACCTCAAGGCGGGACCCAGGTGTCAGGTTTTTTTCTTTTCTTTTTTTTTAAAGCATCTCAGGTAATTCTAGTCTGTAGCCAAGGCTGTGAGAACCACTGGTCTCAGATTGGAATTCGTTTTACCTTTCAAGCATTAATTCCTACTTCACTTCTCCCACCTTTCACTTACTCTGTAGGCTCCCTGGCCATTCCTTGTACATACTTTGCACATTCTCACTTCTGTGCCTTTGAAAATATACCTAGTCGAGGGACTAGAGTGAGCAGGAGGCCTCCTTGCTCTGTCAAGGCCCAGCTGATAAACTCTCCTTCAGGAAGCTTCTCCAGAGCCCTTTCTTTTCCTGTGTTCCCATTTGTACTGGCACTGATTTCAGTCTACCTTGTGTTATAGGTGATTGCCTCCTTTTGTATTCATGCATACCGTCAACAAATATTTTACTGCTTTGCCTGACACTGCTTGACACTAGGATTTATTATAGTGCAATGACAGACCATGCCTTATAGTAGCTTAGAGTTTGGATGGAGGTAGGAGTAGATGTACAGTAAGAATATCCTGAGATAAGAGCTGAAGGTGAGACTAGAGATAAAATTGGAGGCTGGTGAGGGGCTGGCACTAGTAAAGGTATGAAAAGCAAATTCATGTGGTTGAGGCAGAAGGTGAATTGCTGTGAGTTGAGGTGTAAACCACTCTTAGAAGCCTAAAGTCATGAAAGGAAGGAACACTACGGGAAGGAAAGTAGAAGGTAGAAGGAGAGATTCAGGATCAGGGTTTTAAAAAAATCTTTATGCAATAAAGAACACTTGAAGAAGTTTATATACTGATTAGAAACATCCAATAGAAAGCTTTGATAATATAAGAAAGTGTAAATAAAGGGAAAATTGATGAACAGGCCCCAGAGGAGACAGGAAAATAAGTGATTCCAAGTAGTTGGTTTTGCTTTGGATAAAAAGAAAGTTATGAGAAGGGGTCAGGGAAAGAAGTATGCAGTCACATGATTCTATAAAGGAGCCCCAAACATTGAATTTATCCCTGATAGCCTCAGCATTCTCTGTGACTTTGCAGCAGCATCTGTACCCTGGTGGTTTTCTCACGGCTCAGCAGCTTGGGTAGGGATGGATTATCACATGGGGGTGAAGGAACTGCACATGCCCTTTTCCTAGGGTGTGAATTCCAGTTGTCTGTGACCACATCTTGTCTCCCATTTTGACTAACATGCTGTCTTGTGTGTACTGAATTTCATTTTGCTTCATGAATGTTTAATTTTCCTATTAGGACAGTAATGATGACACTGAAGATGTTGCACTGTTTGACGCAGAAGAGGAAACAGCTAATAGACCAAAAAAATCCAAAATCAGGTATGAGGATACATTTTAAGAGTTGTGTTTGTGTCCAGTGCTGTTCTGGTCCAGCGGTTCTGATTCAAGGCACAGTAGTTGTGATGTACTTGTGAATATTGTATATTGCTAGTGTGATCTAAAGATCTGAGACAAAGATGACAATTCATATTTTCTTTGGGAATAACTGGTATATGGAATTTTACTCTTGAGTTTTCAAATCTGCAAATCCAGTTATGTGAACATTGGTGTGTTAATTCTGACTACAGTTTACCAAGAATGCACTGTTTCTTTAGTTTCTATAGATATATTGCATTTTGATTTACTTTGCATCTTTTGTATGAACTAACATGAAAATATCAAGCCAAAGATATTTCTATTCCAAATTTAGTTCTCTCTAAAAAATTCACTTAATGAAATCAAAATCTATAAACCTTAAAAGCATTATACTGAGAGACGCCAGTCACAAAAGACCACATATTGTACAATTTTATTAACCTTAAATCTCCAGAATAGGCAAATCTTTAGAGGCAGAAAGTACATTATTGGTTGCCTACGGCTAGAGAGGGGTGGAGTTAGGGTAAATGGGGATCGACTGCCAAGGGGTAAGGGTTTCCTTTGGGGGTAATGAAAAGTTCTAAAATTGATTGTACTATTCTGTGAATATAGCAAAAACTATTGAATTATATACTTTAAATAGGTGAATTGCATGGTATATGGATTAATCTCAATAAAGATGTTAAAAAAAACAACAACTCTGCCTGATAGTTGCTTTGTCTTAATGCCTGAAGTGATTTCTGAGGGCCTACAAATTCTTTTGTTATGATTTTTGGACATATAAGAATAGGATTTAATCCTAAGAGTATGGTTTCCTTATTCCTTCAAGCTTGGTAAAGTTTCTTATATATTTTGTGAAAGTTTATGTTCAACGAGTTGTTAAAATCATGTTTTCATAGTAGATTTGCTATGACAACAGGGCCTAGTCAAATAATGGGACTTAGGAAAAAAAAAGTAGCAGATTGCTGCCTCTTCAAATCACCTCTTTTATTTTGACCAAACTGCATGATTATGCTATAGCTGAAGCATCTTTCATCTACATCTGCAGTACCTGTGTAAAATGTAATTGTATTTCTTTGATTATGTTTTTGGTTTTCAGACACCCAGTGGCATCATTTTTCCATTTATTCTTTCGAGTCAGTGCAATTGTAGTCTATCTTCTCTGTGAATTGTTCAGCAGCAGCTTTATTGCCTGTATGGTGACAATTATCTTGTTGTTGTCATGTGACTTTTGGGCAGTCAAGGTAGGTTTAATTGTTTATATTTTGAAATCATATTAATATGTTGAGATTGAATGATGTAAGACAGTAAAAAAAAAAATGACACAGCATTTTGGATTGGCATTAATTTATCTTTTTGTTACCTTAGGCCTCATCTTAGAACGCCAGGTATATTAGATCACATGTAGGTTATTACACTACTCACTTGTCTGTGCCTTATGTCTGTGCCTACATCAGCTTTAAAATTAAATAAAATGTGACAAGCAGATACAGACCCTACATATACTTCTGATCCATACCACTGGTTTTGCTTCAGGGTTACCTTCAGCTGTGTTGTATATGATTTCTAGATAAGACCCCAGGATAGTTTGTCTGCAAATACCTAAGGAGTACCCACCATTTGCAAAGGCTCTTATGTGAGCTCTAGGGTAGTATTTCTCCAATAGGGCCAATTTTGTCTCTCGGGACATTTGTCAATGTCTGAAGACATTTTTGGTTATCATGACTAGAGTGGGGAAGTATGCTATTGGCATCTAGTGAGTAGTGGCCAGGGATGCTGGTAAACATCTTATGATGCACAGATAGGACAGTCCCCCACAACAAAGAATTATCTAGTCTCAAATGTCAGTAGTGCTGAGGTTGAGAAACCCTGTTGTAGGGGATAGAAAGGAGTGAAAGAAATGCTTTCAAACTTAAAGGCAATGATGAGTAGAAAGGTGGATGGATATAGATAGGTACATAGATGGACATGTGATAAAGTAATTATATTAAAATAGTATTAATATAGACTCTAGGTGGTAGATATATAGGTGTTCACTGTAAAACTTTACTTCTGTGTGTTTAGGAATTTTCATAGTAAAATGGTGGGGAATATATCAGAGGCCAAAAAATAGCAAAAGCTAATTTCGGAATTTCAGAGACATGTATGTTGATTCAAAGACCAGAAAGATGTTACAAATCTATTCACACCATCAACTCAGCCATTTTTAGATTTTTTGATTCTTACAGATATCAGAAGTGGTTGGCTTGGTGGTGGCCATTTTATATAGGCCACAAAATGCTGAAAATGAAGATTACAAAGGTCTGTTTTCTTTAGGCTTCTCTTTTGTACAGTCTTGGCTTATTTTTCCCTGAAATTCTTCTGTTGCTTTATGCTTTTAAGTGTTTACCATATCTTGGTCACAGTTTTGTTTTGAGGAATGCTTTCTTTTTGTTGTTCATATAATTTCTGTTTAGCCAGATAGAATACAGCTTTCGATTAGTTCTTGGTAATTTCCAAACTCTTATAATTAAATAATTAAATCCTTCTGGATTTAGCGTTTTAAAAAATGTGGCCAAAAAGTATATTTTCTGATAAGCTGTTTTTTTTTTTTACAATGATGGCTTAAAAACTGTCATCCTTTTATCTTGATTAAATTCCTTATAGATATTGAAACAATTGAGATATGAAGCAAAATTAAAAAGTCAAGTTGGGGAAATTATTAAATAAACTTGGGAAAAGGCATAGGCAGGGTTCTGAACCTAGTTAGAACAGAGATGTGTCATAATTTTTATAATTCTTAATGCAGTTATCAAGAGAAGAGATCATTATTAAAAAATAAAAAAGATAAATTATTTTAAAAAATTAAAAAAATTTAAAAAATAACCTCCGTATGGGGCTTTTGTTCTATTCCTTCCCCTGACAGGTAGAGTCAAAAGGTTAAATAATAGTTTTAAAAATTTAATGGTAATTATTAGTAAAATTTAAAATAAGTTGTTTGTCTTCCACATTGGAGAAGATAGGAGCAACTAAAACAGTTCATACAGCAAGAGAAGGAAATGAAACATGTCAAGGAAGCTTAAATTTCACAAGGCATAGAACAAGGTGATGGAAGTAGTAGCAAATTATAACAGTAAATGTAATTTGATTAAACTCTTTTATAAGATAAGAAGTCTAAGATTGGGTCAAAAATCAAAAGTCCAACCAAAAAGTTCTAACTAAAATTGCGACATTAGAAAAAGTAAAAAAAGGCAAAGATAACATCAGACCAATTCAAACAGAAAGAAACTTGGCACTATAATATCGTTAGACAAAATAGAAATGAGGGTAAGACAGCAGTCAGTGGAACAAAAAAGATCATTTTATGAATCACAGTGAGGCTCATTCACAGAATGACATTACACAAAACTATGAATAGTGAAAAACTAGAGACACTAGAAGATGGAGGGAACATTATCGTGATAGGAGTTTAACACTGTCCTTGGCAGATCAAAGCAACAAGAAATAAATAAAGTCTAAAGGATCTGAATGAAATAACAAGATCACTGTAATTGCAGTATTTGGAACTTTGTATGTAAAGAGATAATTTATTACCTTCTTGTTCAGTTCCTGTTCAGCATTTACAAAATGTTCAGCATCACTAACAAAAGTTGATTAAATATCACTACTAAGAAAATTCAAATAAATTGCTCAAAGCAGCTACGGTTTCTAGTCCAGTGCAACAAAACTAGAAATTATAAAAAATGATTGTCAAAACTGGAATTACAAAAGCCAGCCTGCCAAATATTTTGGCTTAAAAAGGAAACAAAAACTGTAGATAATAGATTATACACACCTAATGACAGTGATCTTCTACACTCAAACTTTTAGATTGTGTCTATAGCTGAGGAAAAACAATAGACTAAAGGCTTTTATTATTAGAGGTCCAGAAGTTTCCAAAACAACAATAAGCTTGAGAGAATTTAGGAAAATACACTAATATTGACAAAAGCTGAAAGTAAGGAATTGGAAAGTGGAAAAATAGAAGAGTTTCAAATATTCTAAGAGATGTTATTTGAAAATGCCAATAAACTAGACCTCTGGCTGATCTTGGTCTTTGCCAGCTCTTCTTCTTTATTTAGCATTTCTTTAAATGTTAGCATTTCTACAAAATGAATTTTGTTTTTTAAGGCTTCCTTTTATTCTTCTGTATTCCTTTCCTAAGCAGTATCATCTGTGCTTCTGATTTCAGTTGCTTATCTCTAAGCCTGGTGGACTCCCAGATCTCTTATTCATCTGTCTTGACATTTTTACTTTGCTATCTTGAAGGCACCTCAAATTCAGCATATATAAAATACTTCTTGTCATCTTCCAGTTCCCAAGTGCTGCTCTTCCATCAGTGTTCCTTTTTGCAGGGCCTGGAATCACTATTTTTTTACTTGAGCAAACCAGAAATATATGAGTTGCTTTCTTCCTATCCCACATCCAGTTAATCACCAAGTCCCATAAATCCATAGATTTTACATTCTCCTTGAGGGCTTCCATGCCTACTTTTCTACCTGGAGTGTTATCATTCTCTTATTACTTTAACACAGGGATTCCTTTTTGGGCCATGGACTCCTTTTCATAGTCTCTTCAAACTATGACTAATGTTTTTAAAAACATAAAAGCAAATACATAAAATTACAGGAGAAATCACTTACACTGAAATATAACGAAAACATTAAAAAGGCAAATTTCTGATTTAGTGATATCTACTTTATTAATGTATTAAATAGCAAAATCTAGCAGCAGGTCTAATTACTTCGACAGCATCAATGAGCATAAACAATATTTTATGATAACAAGTATAATATAATATGAAAAATCTGCTTTTTATTGTGACAAAATCACAGGTATTCTTAATTCTACTGTGGTTGATTGTATACATCCATAATTTAACGATAAGCTAAATTTTAGCCATAAGTTAGTGAAAATAAAGATAAATATTTTTTTTCCCATCTGAGTTCACAGTACCCCTGAATTTATTAGTGGACACCACTAATTAAAAATCTCCTGCATTATTGATTCCTACCTATTCTTTAAATTTCATTCTAAATGTTGATTCCTCAGGAAGACATTTTCTCATTCCTGACTAGATCATATTTCCTTGTTAGATTCTTAAGGCAGCCCATACTTCTCCCTCACAGTACTTATCATGGTTGGTAGTGGTACATATGCACATTGATTGACTGCCTCTCTTACACACAACACATTAAGCTCCATGAGGTTAGGGAATGTTTCTGCTATCCCCATTTTATTACCAGCACATAGTAAGTGCTCAGCAAATATTTGTTGAGTAAGTAAACATTAGGAAAGCTACCAGTGTAATTTGTTAACTTTATTTAGTAAGAGGAAAAGAGCTTGGGACATTTGAGGTACTGAGTGAAGGCCAGTACCTATAACCACTGTCTTAGTCAGTTTGGGCAGCTGTAAAAACACCATAGACTGGTGGCTTATAAACTATAGGAATTTATTTTCCAGTTTTTGGAGACTAGAAATCTAGATCAGGGTACCGGCGTGGTTGTCTTCTGGTGAGGACCCTCTTCCAGGTTCCAGACTGCTGACTTCTCGTATCCTCACATGGTGGAAAGCAGAGAAAAGTCGAAAACTCTCTCTTCACTCTTAAAAGGGCACTAATCCCATTTGTGAGAGTTCCACCCTAATGACCTCATCTAATCCTAATCACCTCCCAAAGACCCCATCTCCTGATATCACATGGTGGGGGTTAGAGTTTCAACATTTGAATTCTGGGGGACACAAACATTCAGTCCATAACAACCATTTTTAGAGATATACAGTTTTAAAATAAATATAGCTGTAATCAAGATAGATTAGAACAGGTCACAGTAGCTAAACAGCAAGGGGTTTAGGAGCACATTAGGGAACTGGAGAAAAGACAAGAGTTCAATAGGGAAAAGAGAACGGTAATGTTTATGGATATGCTTACTCTGTCACCTCCACCTCTGCTGGTCCTGCCATTGCCATTTGTTTAATCTTTTGTCCAGGCTTGGTATGTAATGGTCTTTAACTGAATATTATGGAGATAAAGCTGATGTTATTTTGTTTGTGAAATGGTACAGTAAGATATGACCTATGGTAGATCTTTAAATAATGTTTTTAAAATGTGTGTTTATATGTTAATCTTTGCCAGAATGTCACAGGCAGACTAATGGTTGGCCTACGTTGGTGGAATCATATTGATGAAGATGGAAAAAGCCACTGGGTGTTTGAGTCCAGGAAGGTAAATTGCAACCCCCTCTTTTTTTTAAGTGTTATTCAGTAAATTATGTGTAGATTAGGTTTGAATATTTAAGGATGAACTATTCAAGATTAAAAGTACTACCCCAAAACACTTGGCATGTAAACCAGGTGGTCTTCTAAAACTTACTACATTTTTTGACTAGTTCAGACTGGAAACAGGCATGTACAGGAAAGAATACTCAGAGTAGACTTTGGATCAGAGCTTACACAGTGTGCTAAGCTGCCTATCAGAGGCTGCTGATAAAGGATCTCTTTCTGATGGCTTAATGTTGCCTGGCCTGATATAAGTGCTTCCAATAGCTTGTTCTGTCCTTGATGCCATGGTCCTCTTCTATTTGGGGGCTGGAAAAAAAAAAAAATAGAAGGATTGCAACTGGATAGAAAATGTGAATTCATCAAAGTAGTCTGTTTTTAAATTATGTCTTCAGGAGCCCTAGGGGACCCTGGTCTCTTTGTGGTTAGCTGTTCATCAATAGTGAACATTCAGTTTCCTTGTGGAAATCAGTTTGGGAGGCAGAGAACAAAATTCCTGGACAGTGCCAATGAAATTGGCTTCTGCTTGGAAGGGCCTTAACAGGTACTCAGAAAGCAGCATTTATATTATAAAATCTACCTTGGAAACAACTTACCACCTTTTTAAATTCCTGGGTTTTGCTAAGACATTGTGATCATTGTCCAGAATCGCTTAATTCCGTTTTCTTTTTCCCCTCTGGATCCTGACTTGACCTTTTTGGATGATGCTCACTCAGGAAGGTATCATTCAAAGCTTCCTTGTGAATAAACAGTGTCTAAGTGCAAGAAGAATTGAATAGAATCCCAATCAGAGACAACCCTTAAACTGCCTACTCTGCCCTGAAAATGCAGAATTCTTGATTTAAAACAAAATATATTAAAACCAGTTCCTAAATTTACAGTAGTGGTAGTGGTAGATCTACTGTTATTTGGCGGGGGGTGGAGGGGGTGGTGGTGGCAGCAGGTATTCTAACGTAGGACTTGGGTGGTCTGTATTTATTTGAATTTGAGGGTAAGGTGTTTTTTAAAGATGTTAAACTTTTTACTGATAGGTATCACAAAATGTTGGTTATTAAATTCATGATTTTTTGTAGGTGTCCCCTGAAGAGAATAAAACTATTTCAGAGGCTGAATCAAGAATCTTTTGGTTAGGACTTATTGCCTGTCCAGTGCTGTGGGTGATATTTGCCTTCAGTGCTCTCTTCTCCTTCAGAATGAAGTGGTTGGTGAGTATCAGTGTGGAACTATTGAATAATCAATCCATTAAGATGTCTGATGGATGATCATCATAATAAGCAGCTATCTTTGTTAACATCAGGGATTTATCTTGAATAGGCAGCTTCATCATGTATTTCCTAAATTCAGATTCCCAACTCTGCTTTTTAAGTACTGGCAAGCAGAGTCCCATTAAAGACCCCACCCATTTTATCAGTTCTCCAGATGCGTAGCAGATTTCTATTTAGCCCACCTACAGAGGTTACCATATATACCACATTATTATCTTGTTGTGTAGGGATGTTCAATAAACTCCAGACAAACACGTTTAGTTTAATTTGTAACTAACAGAGTGATCTTTTTGAAAATATTGTTTGGTGACCTGTTCTGGCCATCTATTGTTTATATAGTAAATCTTCCCGAAACTTAGTGGCTTAAAACATCAGTAGTCATTTTATGATCTCATAGTTTCTCTGGTTTAGGAGCTTGGAAAGGGCTTGTCTGGATGTCTGGCTTTGGATCTTATATTGTTGCAGTCACTGCCACTGTGGCTGGAGTGGCTGGCTGGGGGCTGGTTGGGCATTTCCTCTTTAAGAGGTCTTGTGGCCTCCCACACGGTCACAACGCATGGCTAGTTTGGGCTTCTTCATTGCCTGGTGGCTTCATGGCATTTAGACTGCTTACCTGGATAGTCACAGCTCTAATTAAGAGTGTTTCAGCTCACAACCTGAATTGCTTTTTACAACTGTATTAATTTGCTTGGGCTACCATAACAAAGTACCATAGACTGGGTGACTTAGACAACAGAAATTTATTTTCTCAAAGTTCTGGAGCCTGGAAGTATCAGATCAAGGTTGTTGGCAGGACTGGTTTCCTCTGAGGCTTCTCTCCTTGGCTTGTAGATGACCGTCTTCTCCCTGTGTTTTCATATGGTCTTCTGACTGTATGTCTGTGTCCTAATTTCCTCTACTTATAAGGGCATTAGTTGTATTGGATTAGGGCCCACGCTAGTGACTGTGTTTTATTTTAATTACCTCTTTAAAGACACTAGGGTTAGGACTTTAACATACAAACTTTTGGAGGACAGAATTCAGCCCATTATAACAGCCTAGCCTCAGAAGTCACTGTATTACTTTGCCACCTATCCATATTCAAGGGATGGGAATTAGGCCCTGTACTAGCAGTCCTCAGCCTTTATGGCACCAGTCGACCTGTGCTCCTATGAGAATCTAATGCCTGATGATCGGAGGTGGAGCTGACGTTGTGATGCTAGCGCTGGGGAGCTGCTGCAAGTACACATGAAGCTTTGCTCGCTTACCCGCCACTCACCTCCTACTGTGCAGCCTGGCTTCTAACAGGCATGGACCAGTACTGGCTCCGGGGTTGGGGATCCCTGCTTTACACCTTGATTAGGGGGTGGAAAGAAGTGTAAGAAGGTTTTAGAAGAGCATGTAGAACAGGAGATATTGTTGCTACCACCTTTGGAAAATACAATCAGTCACTTGACTCAAACTGTGAGTCTTATTCTTTTAATAGTTGAATTTGTCTTATTTAAGATATTCAGATATATTTTAGCCTAAATTATGCTTTTTTCCCTATTTTTAATATTTCCTTGTCTCTGTTAAATAGATTCTCTTTTTCTTTGTGTGTACACATGTATAAATATTTTCCTCTTATGATTTGGAAGGTTTATTGTCTATTTTTAGTTTTTCTAGTAGTTATCTTTATTACATGCTAGTATCATACCCTCTTTCATGAATTAGGGAATCCATTTAATATCTATCGATTTCCTCCTGTGAAAGATGTAAAGTTAACACTCATGCTTTTTCCCACCATTCCTCCCTGCTTTCATTTCTAATTTTTTGTTGGTATACAATTGACCCTAGATTAACTTTTGACTCTCCCCAAACTTTACTATGTAGTCTTATTTTAGTTATTTTAAATAATACACTTAAACCTGTTTATTGACTTACAGACCGTTTAGCAAGGAAATGAAATACTATTATTTCCTCTTTCGTTTCTTCCTTTTCTGTTACCTGAGTTTTGTTTGTTCCAGTATTATTTTGTCAAGATTTATAACAATTACCTTTTGAAATGATATTTCTTATTGGTTGTTCAGTCTTTGATCTACAGTATTTTAGAGTATATCGATTTAGTTTTTTTATTGTAGCTTTTTCTTTTACCTCCTGGTTGGCTAAATTTTGTTGTTGGGTGATTTTTTTCAAAAAACTTGTAGGTGTTATTTTTCTTTTCGGCTCTGCCATGTTTAAGTATATGAGCCTATTGACTATTTTTGAATGACAACTTGGCTAGGTTAATATTTTTGAGTCACAGCTTCTTTCTCTTAGCATTTAGAGGATTATTACTTTATCATTTTCTTACATGGAATTTTGCAGAGAAATCTGTGGCCAGGCTTACTTAACCTCCATGTAAATGAGTGAATCATTCTTCTCCCTGGACAAAGAATTTTTTTTTATTCTTGAAGTTTTAAAATATAACCAGAATGTCTTTGTGTTTATTTTTTTCTATATTGATTTTTCTGGCAACTGTATGCCCCTGCAATATGCAGACGCAGGTTTTGCTTTGAATCAGGAAAATTGTCTTCTGTGAAGTCTTTAAATTTATTTATGTTCTATATTTTGGCTTCTCTAGTTCTGAGATATCAGTTATCTGTTGGATCATTTTTATCTGTTCTCATCTACCGCTTTTAATTGCTTTGATCTCTCCTCATCTTTTTCCTTTTTATTTTTTCATTCAGCAGATATTTTTAAGAGTCTGCCATATGCCAGAGTTGTTTCAGCACTGGGGATAATGTTAGGGGCCAGATAAATAAGATAACTTCTCTGATAGCGCTTATGCTCTAATGGAACAGAGTGTAGACAGACAGTAGATAAGAGAGCAGGGGGGCGGCGTGGGATATTAATTAGAAAGATAGATACAAGGTGAGAGAGTGGAGAGGGCAAGGGAGAGAACAGTGGGTTACTTTAGGCTGGGTGGTCAGCAAACACCTCTCTGTATTTCCTTAACTCTGCCAGCTCCATTTTCATCTTCTGTTGTGTTATCCCACTTTCATTCTCTTTGAATTCTCATCTTTAGATTCTTCCATAGGGTGAAGTATTCCCAGAAATGCTTTTACTTTGGTGGATTATATTTCTTTCAGTGTAGATTCTTTACCTATCTTCTGCATACTGTATTCATTCCCTATTTTTGTTTTTTGGTATAGTTTTACATAGATGCCTTTCCCTTTTTCCCTAATTTTGCTCCTGCTTACAGTGGCAGCTGTGTATGGATCTTCTTTTCTATGCTGGTTTAGTGTGAGTAAGTTCCCCTTGCCTGCTTTCTCGTGTTGTCTGAGATATCTGGGCTCTGCTATGAGCTAGAATTTGAATGCTGTCTTTGGCAGCCTGAGGAGGAGAATGTAGCCAGGCCTCTGGCTGCCATGGCTGGCTTGCTGGGGTTTTTGCCATCTTCTGTAGTGGAGTTCTTGTCTCCTGGTTGGGTGTGTTCTCTATTCTGATTCTATTCTCCTGCTTTATACTGTGTCTGAGGATCTGGAGCCTTAGCATCCATCTGGGAGAGTCAGCCCAGTCTTTCTTTAGCAGTGTTTTCTCTTCTCTAAAACAGAGCAGGGAAGGTTTTTTGAAAGATGGTTTAGGCTCCTAAGACCACAGGGTGGGAAGGTGGCATCACTCAGGCACTCCATGAGTCTCTCCCCACCCTTAAGACCCTCTTAAGGTCTTTGGCTTGATGATTGGGTGTACTTCCTCTCCTCCTACCTCACCAGGGAGGCATCGCCATGGCAAGCTGCTGGAATTTTCCTACCTCTGTTGGATTTTTTTTGGTTGGGAGAGACTTCCGCTCTCATGTCTGTTTCTGCATTTTTTCTTAGGGCTATCTGTATCCTCTGCCTTGTGAGTTATAAGGAACGATGATTATTAGTGAAATTTCCCTTAGAGCTTCTTTGGAGAGTTAGGAGCTGTGTAGAGTGATACCAAGCTGGCTCTTTCTCTGATGACTAGCCCTTTTTTTTTTTTTTTTTAAATATATCTATTGGTGCCAGCTTGTTTGCCTTAAAAAAAAGTCTGTTTGCTCTTTTTACCTTAGGGGGAAGAAGATCTTGATAAATAGCTTCATTACACCATTGTAAACCAGAAGTCTGCTTGTTTTAACTTATACATTTGTTTGTTACCATTGAATAACATTGATGCCTCAGCAGTACCCATGCTGCTTAGTCTGTGAATGTAGGCGCCTCTGGCTCGTTGGTGCATACATATCAAAGAGTGTCCCAATTTGAGCAGCATGGGAAGTTGAAGGAAATTGATTTAAATAAAAACATAGTTTTATGTTTATTTAGGTAACTAGGAACCTTATATAATTCTAATGTGTTTATTTCTATGAAACATACGTTTAGAACAGAAAGTACAACTCCACTTTGTTTGCTAGGGATTTGAAACTATTCCTTAATTAAACATTTAAATCTTCTCACTTGCTTAAAATCAACTGTACAGCTTGTTAAGGAAAGTAAATCTGGATTGGAAAAAGATACTCTGTTTAGCTGACTTGTTTTTTACAGATATAAATGTTTCCCAGATAATCCTTTAAATAGCAGATGAGTTGATGAGTTTTTTTTTTTTTTTTTTTTTTAAGAACAGGTTAGCAAACTATGATGTATAGGCCAGATCCAGCCCAACACCTGTTTTTATCAATTTTTGTTGGAACATACTCTTGCCTATTTGTTGACATATTTGTTGCTGCTTTTGGGCTAGAATGGCAGAGTTGAGTATTTGCAAGAGAGACCATATGGCCCATACAGCCTAAAATGTTTATCTGGCCTTTTACAGAAAAACTTTGCCTACCCCTCTTCTAGAATATTTAATCATAGGATCCCCCTGTGTTGTCCTAATTAACTTTATTTCTATAACATTTAAAGAGTAGGCTTGTTTCTTATTCTCAATCCTTAATGATCTTAGCAGGGTCGCCTATAGGATTTCTGATGTAGCCACAAGGTAGAAACAACTCTGCCAAAGTACATTTCCTCCTAGTGCTCCGTCCTCCACCTCACTCCACCCCTGGTCACAGAAGACATACACCTGTTCATTGTTGCCTGGAGACACTATTTGTTTTCCCAGAAGCCACTTGATTCACCTCTGCATGCTCAGTTTATTGAACTCGATCTATTTCTTGATCATTGTTTTGTAATTCTTAAATAACATTAGAGCCTCTCGGGTCTCATTTACTTTTTTTATATCTTTACTGACAGACCAATGGAAAATATTAGAGAGAATGATCCCTCCATTTATCCTCAGGGGCTAGCATGGTGCCTGGCATATATCCTATGTGTTTAATAAGTATTTGTTAGGTGGGTGATGTAGTGCCTTGTGCAGAGTGTGTGTTAGGTCTATTCTGGCAAATGAAGGAGTTTTATTGGCACAACCCCCAATTTGCAAAGTCATTTTCCTTTTCTTTCCCGTGACAGTCTGCCTTATGTCATTTATGGCATAGAGAAAGGTCAGTTTTAGGCCAGTAATCACTGATTATTTTCCTCTTTCTCAGGCAGTAGTTACCATGGGTGTGGTGCTACAAGGTGCCAATCTCTATGGCTACATCAGGTGCAAAGTGGGCAGCAGAAAGAATTTAACCAACATGGCCACATCTTATCTTGGAAAGCAGTTTTTAAGACAGGTAAGTTTTCTTATTGTGAGGGTAGTTTTGATGTGGTCAGTGACTAATGCAATGATTTCTAACTCTTGTAGAGTTTAATTTTTATGAAATACTTAAAAGTTTTTTAAGGCACATATTTATTTAGACATGAGATGATGATAAAATTAATTACTTTTTAGAGGCTTTGAGGACATTTCAGAAATGTATTATCAGTGTCCTGAAACTATTTTAAAACCAGAGAGATAAACTATCGTTGACAATAATTTATTTTTAAAAATTAAAAAAAAAATTACATTTAGTTCAATTGCTTTCCATTAGTTCTGGTGGCTCTAACAATTTTGAAGAGATGTTGTGTGGTTTTTAGGATTTATAGTAAGAACAAGTAGAAATGAAATAAGACTTATATAATTAAAGATTGTTTTAAAATACTCATTTTTTTTAGAATGGATTTTACTACAGATCTCCAATATGAAGATTTAAATTAGGGTTTTTAATGGGATAAGTAATATTCATAGGCATAGAGTTATTGGTTAAATGTCTTGGGGAAATTGATTAATGTCTGTGTTTTCATGCAGTGGGTTGGGTAAGTAGTATTATACTGGACAGTGGATCTCAAACTTGAATGTGCATCAGAATCACCTAGAGGGCTAAAACACAGATTGCTGGGTCCCACTCCCAGAGTTCCTTATTCAGTTCATCTGAATTTACATGTCTTACATGTTCCTGGGGCTGCTGATTCTGTTGGTCCAACTATTGCATTTAGATAACTAAATCCCTGACAGATTGACTACTCAAGTATGTATAGTTAATAAGTGGTACAAAACTAGGGTTTAACCTAGCTCTCGTCTCATTGTTCTTTCCATATACTGTATAGTTTCTCTTGTATAAAAGATAAGTAGACAAAATGGATATTCTTGTAGGGACATGATTCTCCACCTGAGGGGTTTTTCACAGTTCCAATACACTTTTGTTGTGGTGCACCTTATGGTAGTTGTCAAGTGTGTGCTTAATAGGTTTTTCCTTAGGATTTTCAGAGTTTTTAAGTAGAGATAGACATTGCATATGGGCGAAATTGAATATTGAGCCTGACGTAATGTGGATAGGGTTAGTAGACTTATGTGGCACCTGGTGATGCTCTGCTAAAATGAGACTGGCTTGCTAGATATTTGGGTGGATCCATTGATTTACTTCTTCTGCCTGTTCATAATTTTTAATATAATTGGGCCATTGAATGTAAGTTAACATCATAGCTGGCTCTGTTTACAAATATGGAATGTTTTTCTAGTGTTCGAAGTCTGGTTTTTTAAAGGAGTTCTCACTCTTTTGCAGAATACTGGAGATGATCAGACTTCCTGAAGAGGGAGAGAAAGTCTATGTGTTCTGTTACATTGGGGAACAACTGAAGAGATTCTTGGCTCTGAACCTTTAGAACTCAGTACACATGTTGCAGAGAAGAATGTTGGGTTTGTTTTTCCATTTTTAAATTTACTTAAGAAAAAAAGGAATAGTAGTTTTCATATTATTTTTACTTTCTAGCATTTGGGGCTTGAAGGTATACTATAGCCAAAAACATTGTCAAAATTTGGTTGATGGTGTACATATGTGTATGCGCAGTCTTGTAACATCCATATACCCCAAATTAATGAAAGTGTTTGTGTTCATGTACACACGTAATGGAGACCTTTGCATTTTGATCCATGGAACAAAGAAGGATGTTCTCAAAACTCTGTGTTTACATATTATTCCTGTAGATTATTTCCAGAAGAAAGTTTTGCTTCCCTGGTAAGAGTGAGTACTTTGGCTTATGTATAAGTTAGAAATTGTTAATTTTACAACTTAATATATACTTCATGATAAAATTTCTTATCCTAGGCATTCACAAGTAGGTAAAAATCAAATTCGGGTCAGTGGATGAATTAGTTTCTAAAATTTTTGTTTATTTTTATTTGTAACAAGCCATGTATTTAAGGTTCAGTTAATATAAATGAATTTTGATAGTTTATGTTTAGAGGATACCTAGAGATTGCTGATGTTCTATTTATTTTTTTAGAAAGGGTAGCCAGATTTTGCTTTGGAACTTCCAGAAAGAGCTTCAGTGGTCCTTGGTCTAATGAAATATATCTTTTATCATAAAAAGAGTATTATTCTTATGTCACAATGAGAATAATCATTTAAATACTTGGCATAATAAATGCCTAAAAGACATTTATGAATCTATTTTTTTCTCTTGCTATAATGGGGATATTATAAATCATGCATTTGTATTAATAGTATTTCTTAAAAAGCGATATGGTCTACAAACTATTATAGACATCTGTTCATTCTGCTGTAGGTGTACCATAAGGTTTGTTGGAATCTTAATCAACAGATTATTTTGTGAATGTATTTATACATTGTTAAAATTTTTTAAAAATGTTTTGTTTACTTGATTGTCTTTATTGGAGGGATAGCTTTGAAGGTTCATAACTTTATATTTGTATAAAACTTTACTTACAAAGCATTTTGACATGTGTAGTCTCATTTGATCCTCACGACAAACCTGTTTTGTGTGACACCTGTTTACAGATGATGAAATGGAACTTCAGGTTATTGAGCAACTTGCCCAAAGAAACAGATTATAGGAAGACCCATCAGGATGTATTACTGTTTTTAAAAGAAATATTTGTCTCTAATGTCTTCCTTTATTAAGAATCATTAATTTATTAAGTCATTAATTTATTAAATGCTTGGTTGCCATTTTACTTATGCTTATCCGGTGAGGAAAACTGATGTTACATGAAGACATTATTTAATTTGAAAGATTTAACCTAAATCTTTAGAGTTGAGAGTCTAACAGGGAACACATTGGTTATAGGTTTTGATGTAACTGTGTTGTTATTTGAACCTGCAATCCTAAAAACCAAATATGAATTGAATTTTAGAATATGCATGTGACAGGATTTACCACTTATCTTCCAATATCCGTTTTTCTCTTCTATGTGTTTCCCACTTATTAGCTGGGACATGGAACAAAGACAGCTTTTCCCAGATTTTCTTGCTGCGGCTTAGTGGGATCATGTGACTGAGTTCTGGCCAATGAGTACACTTTCAGTATGCCTAAAAGGATGGACATACCCATCCTATCCCCCTTTTTCCTTCCTGCTAGCTAAAATATGGACATAGATGGGCTTGAACCAGCCATCTTGGAATGGGGTAGAAGCCTCATTTTGTGAATAGCAGAGAAATAAGGTAGAGATTACTGAGTCACCTCTGATGGGAATAGCAGCCCTGAACTGCCTATCTGAATTTTTAAGTGAGAAACTTCTATCTTGTTTAAGTGTTACTGTTTTGGCTTTTCTGTTTCTATAGCCTAACTGAATTCTTATCAATACAGTATATTTGTAATATCCCCCATAATTATTTCCATTAGTGTAGTATTTAAGATATAATAATTCAGTAATTCAGTAATACATATTCAGCTGTGCTAACTTTTGCCATAGTGCAGTGATTTTCATACTAGAGGAACTTTTTCTTCTACGTCTTCTGTCAAAACTTAATATCTATAATAAAGCAGAGCTGCTCTAGTGGAAACAGGATTGGAGGATCTGGAATCACCTTCTCAGCCCTAACTACCCATTTTCAAGGAGACTGCTGAGCCTCCTTGTAAACCACTGGTAGGAAAAGTGAAACCAGAATCTATCCTGGTTTTGAGGAATGCAGTCTCGTATTGTATGTTAAAAACACTTTTCAATTAAAAATAAAATCAAAATATCTAATTCTTGAGGGGAGCAGGAAGCACTCCTTAAACCTTTGTATTGTTCTAAAGAAGAAAGGAAGAAGCATATTTCCGTAAGTTATAATTTGGTGCCAAGAAAAAAATATATAATTTTCCCCCACTATGATTAATATAAAAAAATAAATAAATAAAGCACTCATAGTCAGCAAATCATGGTCAGAAATCCATTCTCAATTCTGCCTAGAAGCAAACATTTTCAACTGCTTAGTTTTTGTATTTTGGGGTATTTACTTTCATACGTCTAAATAATATGCTTAATTGTGCTTATAGTTGACTTATCAACTTTATACTTAGCTGTTGACTTCCTGCTATGAAAAATGAAGGTTTAACTCAACCCCTTCTCCCCACATATAGTTTGAACACTGTTTTTTGTCAAATGGGTTGTAATGTTAAAGACTTAACATAAACCTCCATTTTTAAATCAGTTATCTGTTGTGATTGTGAATTTTCTCTGTTAGTAATTTGTTCAACTAAGTACCAGAAAATCCTGCAAATAATAGTGGCTTAAACAAAAAAAGAGTTTGTGTGTTTTTCTACAAATGAAGTCTGAAATTAGGCAATTGCTGGTGTTGATGCAGATACTAAACAATTCCTTAGAAAGCTGGTTTTTGTCCCTATGTTCATTGCCTCAGGGTTACAAGATGACTGTCACGGCTGAAGATGACTCATTTATTTTTTAAATTAATTGGGGTGACTTTGGTTAATAAAATGTTATAGGTTTCAAGTGTACATTTTTATAATACATCACCTTTATTTTGCATTGTGTGTTCACTCAAAGTCAGATCTCCTTCCGTCACCATATATTTGACCCCGACCCCCTTTAGCCTTTTTTACCTCCCTCGTCCCCACTTTCCCTCTGGTAACTACTATCCTGTTACAATCTATTTTTAAGGAAGGAAGAAGAATGGAGGCTCTGGTTGCATCTGTTCCCTTGTATCAGAAAAGCAAAAGCATCTCAGAAATCACAGGAAACTTATGCTTCTGCTGCTATTTCATTAGCCGAAATGGTGTCACCCAGGGGTAAGGAAGTCTGAGAAAGCAGGTTATTAAGGTAGGCACATTGCTGTCTTGAATAAAAGAGATTTTGTTAGTAGGGAAAAAAGGACATCGGGTAGGCATCTAGCATACTTCTTGTGGGGGCTTTCTGTAGAGGACACCAGCTGCTGTGGTGGCTAATGCTCTTGGCATAATTTCTATAGTAAATAAAATAGCCTTTGATCTAGATAGCTTTTTAAAAGTCCACTTTTGATGCAAAGCCATTAGAATACAACTTGGTAAGATAGTTATGTGAGGGCATAGGCTGATATACTCTTACATTTGTATCCTTACTTTAATGTGATTTGGGGGTGGGATTTAGAATATTCAGAGTAGCGGTTCTCATGGAGATGGCACCAAGGGAGGGTGCTTTTGTAATTTGGAGAAGGCTCGGTTAACACAATAATTGATTATTTTAGTGGATGAAGCCTAGGGATGCCAGGCACTTGTAGAGCATAGGGCAGGACCAAAAATGGTCTTGCATCATGAATAGTTATGTACACGAAAATCCTGTTTATAATGAGAAAGGAAAAGCAACCCCTGACAGCCATTAGCTGGAAGCTGACCTGACCATAATAGCTAGGCTGTGGTGTTTTCCTGTTGGACATAAACAATTTTATGCAACAGCAACATCTGACAAGGCCACTCTGAACATGAGCGAGCAAGACAAAAATAAGGAAACTGTGTGATCATGATAGAACATAGAAACAAGAATACTGTGCAAACCACAAAATATGACCAAACATCCCCCTCCTGACTTACATGAGTGACCGCTGCTGCTTTACTATATACAGCTTTAGACCATTCTGATCTTCTTACCTTTTAGATTAAAATTAAAATATTCACTCATAGACTTGCTTTACTTTCTGAAAGCACCCAATCCAGAGTAAAATTATGGTTCATAGAACCCTTCTTGAAATCATCTCACAGGCCCAAATCCTATAATAAGCCCTTTGTAGCACCTTTATACTGAAATACTCCATGGTGTGTGATATCCCTTGTGCAAAAAGTGCTGATAAACTCAACTTGTTTAACCATGTGTCTGTTCCTCATGGTCTCTACCTGGTGAGCATTGACGATAATTATCTGAGCCTGGACTATTAGTCTCATTTTACATTTAAAAACTTCATTTTACACTTATTTTTGTTGTTGCAGATTTGCAATACTTATTGAAATATGCAACTGTCATGTGAAGGGAGGTTGTACTCTTTGTTCAGTAATTTACCAAGAGTATTTCACCATTTTGAAAGCTGTCCCTACTGGCAAAATTGCTCATGGCATTTGAGTTGAAAGTCAAAACTGCTGTAGTTGCATTAGTCTGCATTTGTAATGGCTACATTCCTGATAATTATATATGTACATATGCAAGCATCTGATTACTGTGTTTTCAGTAGTTGTGGCCATTTACGTTTATGTTGAATTACATATTTCCATAAGTTGTTTCCTTTTATTTTTCCTTTATATTATAGTTAGACATCATATCGATTTAAAAAATGCCTGAGATAAGTTGTATTGTCTATCCATCTATAATTTTTTTAGAATAATATAAAGTGTTTAAGAATATTTGTAATAAAAAGTGGCTGTGGGTCTGAAGGTGCCAGAAGTACTGGTCTGCAGTTATTGGTGGGCAGTCTGTCCCTTAGACCCTCGTCGCTCAAGTGGAGTTAGAAAGCTGGTAGATTTGAGTTTGTACTCTGGTGTTCTAATCTTTTGTGCTCTTACTGAGGGTGGTGGATTCCATAGACTTTGGAAACTAGTGCCGACATTCTGCTACGAAATTTGAGAAGCCAAACAATTTTCTCATTTGGACAGTATGTCATAGGTGGAATGTCTGATATTTTAAGTGAATTCAGTATATGCTGCTTGCATTAATTTAAGAGAAACCCTTTGTATCTTACTTTCTACTTAAAGAAATCCTGGAGAAACATTTCAAGAATGGTAGAGTAAGGATCTCCAAAGATCTGATCCTCCATAAAAGCAATGAGAACACTGGCAGAAATTGTCAGAGTCAACTTTTTCAAACTAGAAATTAACCAAAGGATTGCAACAATCTGAGGAATATGTATTTGAGGAAAATGGTTGAATCTCTGTAAGAACAATAAGCTTTGTGGTGTTTTAACTTGTCCTGATCCCATCCCCATCTCCCCAGCTCTGTGGAAGCCTTGAAAACTGGGAGCATTAAACCACAGTACCTGTGAAAACCAGCAGCCTAGCAGCTACTGGAATAGTTTGGAATTCCCCCAGATATATTTGGAGTTACACAAGAAGCCCCATACTCAGAGAGTAGACAGTATTTGATTTTTCTGGCAGCTCCCTAGAAAAGTCCCAATCATAGGGCTTATCTTTATTAAACCTGACTCAGTGAAAAAAAGCACTATCCTCAGGTTGTTTGTTGGAAACAATCAGTGTCAATTGTTTAAATAGCCCAGCTCTCTGAGATGGTGATACTGGTTGGGGTAAACAAGATATTGGTCAAAAAACTTTAAAGAAAATATGGGAAGTGTGATATCCATAGGAGGCTTTAAAAGCCCCAACATATTCCTGGGAATGTAGAAAGCCACATGCATGTGTGGGGATGCTTGCCCAGGAAAAGACCTGAAAAGGCCCTAATCTCTCAGCTCTGGATGATCTTGAGGTTCTACATAAACAGGAAATAAAGCTTAGGTAGAGTCGTAAACTGCTGGTCTTGAAGATGTGCCCCAATCACATGAGCCCTTCAGCAAAGGGTGGCAGACATACGGTTTCAGGCACTTAAGGAAATCCCTATATAATTATTAGCTGAAGTCTGAGCTAATTGAGTAGAGATTTAAGTGACTACACATGACAAAGGATAGCCTTTACAAAATTAGTACAGGAAAGTCACTAAAATATATATGTACAATATATTTGCAGCAACAACAAACCTTAAAGGGAGAGGGCAACAAACCTGTTTGCCAGAGTTGCCACCTTGTATTTTTAAATCGTCCAGTTTTCAACAAAAAATTAGACAATGAAAGAAACAAAGTACGACTCATGAAGAGGGAAAAAAAGTCAACAGAAATGATCCTTGATGAAGCCTCAGTCATTTAGAAATTTAGCCTTTAAAGTCAACTCTTAAATATATTCAAAGAGCCTAAGGAAACCATGGACAAAGAACTAAAAGAAATTAGGAAAATGATTTATGAACAAAATGAGTAAAGAGATAAAAATTACAGAAAGGAGCCAAATAGAAATTTTGGAACACAATAATTGACATGAAAACATTACTAGAGGAGTTCCACAGATTTGAGCAGTCAAATGAGAGTCAGAAAACTTGAAAATAGGAAAATTTGTAATTATCCAGTTTGGGGAGCAGAAAGATAAAAGAATAAAGAAGAATGAACAGAGCCTATGGGACCTGTGAGACACCACCAAGCGTGCCAACATATACACATTAAGGGGGTCCCAGAAGGAGAAGGGAGGAAAGATCAGAATATTTGAAGAATTAATGGCTAGAAACCTCTCAAATTTGATAAAAGACTTGAAGAAAGAACAATTTACACACCCAAGAAACAATAAATTCTAACTAGGATAAACTCAAAGAGATCCACATCTAAACATATAGTCAAACTGTCAAAAGCCAATGACAGAATGCTGAAAGCAATAAGAGAATATAACCCATCACATACGAAGGATACTCAATAAGATTAAAAGCTTGCTTTTCATCAGGAACCATGTAGTCAGAAATCTGTAAGATGATTTATTATATATAGACTTTAAGACAAACTGTTAAAAGGGATAAGGATATTACATATTGATTAAATGGTCAATCCATCAGGAAGACATAACAATTATAAACATATTTTTACTTGACAAAAGAGCCCCAAAGTACATGAAACAAAAGCTGAGAGAATTGAAGGGAGAAATAGACCATCAATTATTACTAAATGATTCACTATTATTTTTTAGTGATTAAGTGAGATAATTATGTAAAATATTCAGCATAATCCTAGGCACATGGTAATTAGAAAGAAAAACTTATTTAGAAAAACTTAGTTGCTCTTCTAGTGAAGGGTAATGTGGTCAGGAAATCTAACAATAATAGTTGGAGACTTCGATATCTCACTTTTAATAATGGGTAGCCAAACTAGGCAGAACAACAAGGAAATAGAGGATTCAGTACAACTATAAACCAACAGATCTAATAGACATCTATTAAGTACTCCACCCAATAACAGCAGAATACATGTTTTTTTCAAGTTCAGATGGAATATTCTTAAGGATAGACTATATGTTAGGCCATAAAACAGTCTTCAATAAATATAAAAAAGATTAAAAATATACAAAGTATGTTCTCTGACCACAATGGAATTAAATTAAAAATCAACAACATAAGGAAATTTGAGAAAGTAACAAATATGTGGAAAGTAACACATTAAAATAACCAAGAGTCAAGGAAGAAATCACAAAGAAAATTAGAAAAAACTTTGAGAGTCATGAAAATGAAACCACGAAATACCAACACTTATGGGTGGTTAACAGCAGTTAGAGGGAAATTTATAACAAACCTCTATTAAAAAACGGAACTCTCATTTATTGCTCATGGGAATGCAACATGGTACAGCTATGTTGGAAGACAGTTTGGTGGGTTCTTAACAGAACTAAAATGCTCTTACCATATAATCTAACAGTTGTGCTCCTTGTTACTTATTTAAGTGAAATGAAACT